ATGATGGAACATTGATATCTTAAAAGCAGTATTTATGTGGCTGACATCTAACCCACACTGTCTCAAGTGCCATGATCACAAAGACACCCCACTCCCAAATGTTTTACAAACAGTGGTTGGGTTACTAGAGGATGAGAGCAAGACAAGTTATACTTGTGGGAAAAGAAAAACATTTTGTGGAATTTGCAGCGTTCAGAGTATTTAATGATAACATGTTTGTCCTCCAGTTGCTGAAGATGCCTGCAGCCTTGGGACACTTTCAGACACCTCGCCAGTTCTCCAGAGACAAGTATATATTTCTGCTAAAGAAATAAGTCCTTGTAATTCTATTTGCAGCTAGGTAGGAGATGATACCTTCTGATTACAAGCTGATTTGCACATGGCTGTCCTGCATTCTTCATTCCTAGGATTCTTTGTTGTCACTTGTAGTCACCAGAAATCATATTCATCTGAGCACAGAGCTACTACAACAGTTATGACTTCATTCTAACATCATACAATAATAACCATGAATCCTGATTAACTGCTCAATTTTAGAAAAAAACAGGTTTCTTCAACCCTTTATTTTCTTTTGGTTTCCTAAAATTACGATAGAGATAATGATGGTGATAAAGTGCATGGACAAAAAAACCCTCTAGTAGTGTAAAAAAATGGACCCAGATACTGTGGTGATTAATGAAATTGTTAGAAACACAACAACCTAAATGGATATGCTGGCATCAATCCTCCTCCTTAGCAGGACCTACCGTGCAAGGACTGGGCCAGAATTACTTTCTGAAAAGGAGACCAAGCCAGATTAGCATCACATCAACTCAGGGTCCTGTATAATCTAAAGGGACAGGGCAGAAGCAAGGCCGTTCTGGTAACAGGGACAGTCAGGCCCTCGGAGAGGGGGATGCTGTGGGAATGCACTAACAGCTTGGAGCCAGCACCCTGGCACATGGCTGTCAAGGCTAAAAAAGCGGGGTGATGGAGAGTCACAGTCAGTCCTAGGACAGCAGAGCCAGGAAGGGCGATCTCCATGGGGCTGGGGAGAGCAGCCAGCCTCGGAACAGTCTGCGGAGAGAGCGTGCCAGCTGGGAAGCAGCTGTACAGCCCCAGGGCGGCCAGGGACGCCCCTGACAAACGTGTGCCGTGACCAGAAGGGTTACAGCTGGCGGGAAGCGCCAGGGCCTTCAGCCAGCAACAGCTGAGACACGCAGCAAGTCACGCACCGAGCGAGGAGCAGGGCTGGGGTTTGGCGGGGCGGCCTCACGTCACCAAGTCACGATGCGGCAGCCCCAGCAGCTTCTGCCACC